GTGTTGGCTCCCTCCTCTCGCGGCGCAGGGCTGGGGTGGGAGCGTGGAGGCCCTCTGCAGCCCTGTTGTGAACTGAAGGGAAATTACAGGTGCAGACTTGAGTTTTCTGGGGCGTGAGGGGTGTATCCGGTTGTTCTGAGCAGGATTCTCGTTCCCTGGAGGAGCTTTGCATGGGATGCATCGCAGTAGTTGTGAGTGGTGTCTCTGAACTCTGTCCCAGGCCAAGCTCCGGCTTTGCTGCCTTTGTAGACCTCTTGCCTCTGAGCCTGGCTGTCTTGTGGCAGATGCTTTTCCCTCAGTGCAGAAAAGAGTCCAGGCTTTGGACGTGGTCCTTGGCAGACAGGTCCATCACGAGGGAGGTGTCTGGAGCGAGAAGGGGTATCGCCTGGCCAAGGCAGGGTTGCTGCCTGCATGACCCAGACGTGCAGCGGCAGCATGTTTTGCAGTGCTCTCACTCAGGCACGGCCAAATTCCCTCTTACAGGAATGTGAAGGGGGCCTTGCCCCGGCTGCGAGGCAGAATGTGTGCGCTTCAGGTGCGCGCCGGAATGCTTGGGGAAGCGAGAGCGATGGTGGGCAATTAAAAGTGAGTCAGCAACTTGGTGACCTGCAGAGGGGCTGTCGCTCACTCTGATCTTCAAACAGTCTGGCAGCAAGGAGAGCAGCCACGGAGCCGCTGAGAGCCGCCCTTGCTTTGTTTCGGAGCCAGCCGCTCCGTCAGGCTGCTGTGGTGCCAATCCCAAGGAAACGGGCCAGGCCAGGTTGGCTCTGCCCTGGTTTGATGCTGTTTTGACTTTAATCTAACCCAGGGAGCTGCTTGTCCTCTCTTTCCAAAAACTCCCGGGTTCTTAAGTTGGAGATGACTAATGCCTTGGCTCTTTGGATGAACATTTATGTAGAGGGAGAAAAAACAAGAGAAAACCAGCATGTGTCCCACCCACAGAATCCCATAATAAGTAGCATTTAGTGCGCTCTGGCTTTCATCGCTCTCTGCAAACATTCACTGGCTCACTGACACATGGTGTCAAAGGCTCAGGCTGTTTTTTGGGGGACCCGTGCTGGTTTTGAGTTCAGGCAGATATTTTTGTAGGAGCAGCTTTTTAGGCAGAGAGGACAGTGATCAGGTCTCGTTTTTTGAGACATCAGCTGATGGCTGCAGGCATCTGCAAAGGCATCCAGCCCGCCTGCTCCCCTCCCTTTCTGCTCCCTGCTTCTGCCAATGTAAATGAGACACCAAGGACACTTACACTTTCGAAACAGCCCAAACGTCCCTGGGATTCACATGATGTATGTGGCCTGACGCGACCCTTTTGCTCTTGGACAGATATTTCTGTGGGACCCAGCGACTGGCAATCAGATCGGCCGGGTGCTCACCGGCCACTCCAAATGGATCACGTGTCTGTGCTGGGAACCGCTCCACATGTAAGTGAAGGGCGCAGCTGGCCTCCGAGCTCAGGCTCTGCAGAGCGCTCCCTTCCTGCTCCCCTGCATCCTGGTTGCCCCCATTGTCTAGTTTATTTATCATGAGGGCTAATTAGCTATGCAATCCCCTTATCCCTTTGATGAGCTAAAGCTCTGTCTGGGAGAGATGGGTGGAAGGGATCAGTTGTAGCCAATAATTCAAGACATTGTAGAAACAAATTGAAAAAGAGAAATAGAGCGCCTTTGGAGCAGAGCCCTGCAAATTGAATTTGCCAGTAGGAAACTCCAGCTATTTGCAAACAAAAACTGGATTAACAAAAACTGATTATAAAGGAGGATGAGGAAATGAAGAGGAGGGAGACGACCCTACGGCTTCTCTGTCTCCAGTCAGCTGTACTCCCTGCTCACTTCCTGTGCAGCAGGAGGGGCCGTGTTGTTCCTCACTGCAGCTGGTGCCAGGGACCACTTTGATGTTAAAACAGTGTTGAGTGATAAAGTTGTTGTGCAAAGGACAAAGGGCTGTGGCTCCTCTGTCCGTGCTGGGTTGTGGCCAGCTACTTCCAGATGTGTTGAGCTTGCCCCCCCAAGCCACGTGGATGAATGTTGCTGCTTTCAGCCCTCCCAGCACAGCAGTACTCTGGCCACTGCCTGGTGCATTTCCTGCTGGAGGCGAAGCTGGGCAGAGGCAGGGGAGCTCCTGACGCATTCCCGTTGCCGCCTGCGTGCCACAAACTGATGTCCCTGCCCAGGGCTCTCCCCAGCCAGTGCTGGGGGAAGGTGCCGGTTTGGGGTCCCCTTGTTAATCAGTGGATTAAAGCTGCCTCCTGTGAAAACTGGGTCATTATCAAGAGCTAAGGTGCCAGGTTTACCTTGGATTGATGCCTCCAGTGTGCAGCCCGGGGGTTGGTTTGGAGGGAAGCATCTGTCTGCCTCTCCTCTGCCTTGTGAAATCTTGTTCTCTGTAGGTGAGGGCTCTGCTCCTGCCTGGCCTCTCTGTGATGTTAAGCCAAAGGAGAAAGTTGTCTTTTATTGCCTTCTGGGCCCTTGAATCCTCTGGGCAGATGGGGGAGGAGCCTGGTGGAGGCCCTGTGTGCACTCTGCAAATGGATTTGATCTTCTTTTTGCCCAGAAACCCGGAGTGCCGCTACCTGGCAAGTGCCTCCAAGGATGGCAGCATCCGTATCTGGGACACGCTGATGGGCAGGTGTGACAAAATCCTCACGAGCCACACGCAGTCGGTGACATGTGTGAAGTGGGGGGGTGATGGTTTGCTCTACTCCTCCTCCCAGGACAGGACCATCAAAGTCTGGAGGAGCCAGGATGTAAGTGAGACAGGTGACCCCTGGGGCTGCTGCTGAAGGGGGCTGGAGACGCTGTGGTGTAGGTTTGTCTGCTCTTCCTGGCAGAGCTTGCGCCTTGCAGAATGGAGGTGCAGAGTGGGAGCTGTATCCTCTTGACCTGTCAGAATCTTTACACCATTTGGAAGGGGTAGCTGTTGTGCAATGCTTTCATCCCTAAAAGCGTAAAATGGGGCTAAAAGCTGGGAACATCCCTGGAACGACCTGTTCTGGTGGGTTCCTTGCAAGGTCCTGTGGGGAAACTGGTTCCTGAAGCTCAACAGTGTCATTTCTTCCCTGCTAAGCCTGGCTACAGTCCTGCCTGCAGCTTGGGCAAGAGGGCAGCTTAGGGTTGGTCCTCATAGCCCAGTGGGTCTGTGGGTCCTGAGCACTCTGGCTCTGTCCTGTCTATCCCTCTTTAAGCAGGTGAGTTTTTTTCCAGGGGGTCCTCTGCCGCACCTTGCAGGGCCACGCTCACTGGGTGAACACGATGGCCCTTAGCACCGACTACGTTCTCCGCACCGGTGCCTTCGAACCTGCTGAAGCCACCATTAACCCACAAGATGTAAGCGGCTCCTGTAAGTGCAGCATCTGCAGTGTGGGCTGGGGGAGGCGGTGGAGAGAGCAGCAAGGAGACCTGTCGTCTTTTCTTAATGCTGCCACGAGAAGCAATCTTGAGATCTGGGAGCAGGTCCTGTGCCAGTGTTTGTCATGCTGGCAGCTGTAATCTTGCTGTTGCACAGGGTTGAGCAGTCTGGAGGATGGGAAGGCCCATCTGGTTTCAAGGTCTTTTGCTCCCAATATCACCCTTTGCAAGGAGGAAGGGCTGAGCAGTCACAAATGCATCTACTTGACCTACAAAGCCAAGATTGGAATTCACATCACAGGGTTATAAAGTTACCTTTCACCGAAGGATTGCAAATCTCTCTCTCTTCCCCTCTCCCTTTCCCTCTTTCAGTGGCAGAACTGAAGGACAAGGCACAGCAGAGGTATAACCAAGTCAGGGTAAGTCCTTTTTGTCCCTACTGTCATTTCTAACACTTAGTGGTGGAAGCAGTAAATGTTGGCTGTTGAACCCAACGCTAGAGTGCTTCCAAGCTCTCCACACTTGCCTTGCACAAGACTTAGACTCTTTCATCCCTTTCTCAGGGCCAGGAACCAGAAAGGCTCGTCTCGGGGTCAGATGATTTCACGCTGTTTCTTTGGAGACCAGCAGAAGACAAGAAGCCACTGGAGAGAATGACGGGCCACCAGGCATTGATTAACCAAGTTCTCTTCTCGCCAGACACCCGGATAATAGCTAGTGCTTCCTTTGACAAGTCCATAAAGCTCTGGGACGGTAGGACAGGAAAGTGAGTCGGTTTGTTCTGTTACAGAGGTGATGTTTGTGTGGTTTAATGCACAGGTTACTCAGGGATGAGCCCCAATGTCATTGCCAGCAACTCCCTGGTGTGTTCAGCATCTCTGCAGCCTGAACTCAAGCAAAGAAATTCTGCTGCCTTTGTCTCTCTCTGCCCTCGGCAAGTCCCTCGTACGGCTCCTCTTGTGTTACGGGGTCTGCTTGGCTGGGTGTGTGCAACCCTGCTGTCACCCAGCACTGCCTCACACACACACACAGCACATGCATGGGGCAGGCGCAGCCGCGGGGGGGAGGGGGTGTGCCACACGTGTGTTACGGGGTCTGCTTGGCCGGGTGTGTGCAACCCTGCTGTCACCCAGCAGTGCCTCACACACACACACAGCACATGCATGGGGCAGGCGCAGCTGCGGCGGGATGGGATGTTCCACTCGGCTGCTCTCCTGAAGATGTATGTGCTGCATGCTGTAGACTGACCCAGTTTAAGTGGTTCCTGTGCCAAAGAACAGCTTGTTCTGGACAATGCACATTACTAGTTATGAGTGCTGCTGGTGGTGTTCGAACACTCCTGCAGTCCAGCTTTTAACCTTCAGCTAGTGTTGGTGAGCTCTCTGGGGCAGCAGTCGTTCCTCCTAAGTCAGCCCTCACAGCGAAGCTCATAGCTTGAGTTTTGTGTTGGTAATTTTAACAGTCCTAAATCCAGGCTGCTCAGCCAGAGAGCAAGGACACATCTGTACAGTAAGGTTGAGGGGTGCCTGCTGGATAAGGGTTTCTTGACAGAGGAGTTGAGATGAAGAGCTGTGCTGTAGAAGGCTCTGAGCCCATCTGGGAGGGTTTTTAGACAGACTGAACCACCGATGTGCTCTCTGTAGGAATCAGCTGCCTTACATGTGCTGGCGTGGGGCATGCTGGGCATTCCCTGACTGTGCTTGCCTGCTCACAGGTGGGGAAAAAGCACGAAGGTTGGGCAAGGGCAAGTTTGAACAAACTCAGCTTCCTGCTCCTCCTGAGAGCTTGTTTGTGCCTCCTCCACACCAGGTACTTGACATCGCTGAGAGGGCATGTCTCGGCGGTGTATCAGATCGCCTGGTCAGCTGACAGCCGCTTGCTGGTGAGCGGGAGCAGTGACAGCACGCTGAAGGTCTGGGACGCCAAGACGAAGAAACTGGCCATCGATCTTCCTGGCCATGCAGATGAGGTGAGGTGTATGCTCGAGCTGAGGTGTTTGAGAAAGGCAGGAATGACTCCTGCTCCCAGCAGAGATAACGGTGTCTGTCCCTAATACCAGGTGTACGCAACGGATTGGAGCCCGGACGGACAGAGGGTAGCAAGCGGAGGGAAGGATAAATGTTTGCGGATGTAAGTAACCTGTTGACAGTCTGTAGAGGATGTTGCAGCTACACCACGTGTTCTTCAGGGCTGCAGTCTCCTGGCAGAGACCTGCACAGTTTGGGCATGATCTCTCCTTGCAGAGAGCACAGCACTGGGCCAAATTCCAGCCCAGAGACCTGACCTTTCTTGGGGCAGGAACTGCTGCTGACCCCAGAGAGATGACCAGGAAGCAGATTCCCTCCAACTGAGCAGTCAGTGGTGAAATTTGACTCAACTGTTTTGTCTCCTGGAGAGGGGAGGCACCAGTTGCACCAGTCAGTCAGACCCTTTCTTTCTCACCTTCTGTCTCCCAGTTATGCAGACAGGCAAACTCCCATGAGCTGCTTGCCACCTGAGCACGGCTGGTGATGACACTCGGTCTCCAGGCCCGCACTGTGCTGCTCTCGCACAGTACCTGCTGGGCTGTGTGTCAGTGCTGATGTGCACCACGGGCATGCAGCAGCTCTTTCCGTTTGCAGATGGCGTCGGTAGGAGCAGCGACACGAAGCCGCCGGTCCCATCCTAAGATGGCCTGAGCTTGGCGCAGTCTGCCTGGGAGATCTGCAAGGTGATGGATGACAGAGGCTGACCCGAGCGTGACTCCATGTTCCTGTTGGCTGCTCTTCCTCATGGACTCTTTCCTTATATTTATTTAAAGAAATTTTAATTGTAGTCTTATTAAGAGCTGTGCTTTGCAGGATGATTTCCTCTGAACATTACAGGAGGGATATCTCATCTGCCTATATCTCAACTGGCCTCTTACTGAAATTTCAGCCTCATGGTAGCCTGCCCCCTGGAAGGGAGCAAGTGAAGGGTGGGGACAGCTCATGCCCTTTCTTGCTGTGTAAAGAGTCCTGCAAAGGCTTTTAGTGAGAACAGCAAGGGTTGTCCTTTTGTGACCTTCAGAGAGGGAGAGAGGAAGGGGAAAATCTAGCACATCATTACACTGCAGAATTGTGCTTAGCTGCATGCCTGGGACAAAGATCTGCAGCGAGTAACATCTCAGGGCTTTCGTTATTCCAGTAAGGTTTTACCTTTCCACTCAGACCATTTCCCTGTGGGCTGTGCTGAGCATTATCTGTCAGTGGTCCTCTGCATCCACAGCAGATAACTCATTCACTCATCTGTTCAGGGTGCAACAGGCAGAGACTTCAAACAGCTGCTAGAGCTGTGCCGAGTTTTCAGGTCTCGATGACTCTTGGAAACAGAGAAATGAGGTGCTTGTGTCTCTGAACAGGGAAGAGAGCGTCTCTTTCCTATCCACAGCTGGCTCAAGGGGAAGGAAGGAAGGGTGGGGAAGGGAAGGATGGAGCAGGCAGTTTGGGTGGTGTTTGTCCCTTGCCCTGGATACGTGCTGTGACAGCCAGGCTGGGACTGTCACAGTCGATGGCAAAACTTCATTGCGCAGAGCTGGCTCCTACTCAAGTGCGTTTACTTGCCCAGTGGGTGAGAGGGATTCACACTGTCAGTTACGTATTTTTAAGCTTGCTTATAAGCCTTTTTATATGTCAATTCAGGCTTCCAGCAATCTTGAGGTGAATAAATCTGGATTTACTGCTGATTTCTAGGATGCTTACGAAACAGTGAAAATCAAGATGTGATTATTAAAGGAATAGAAATTATAATGCCGGATTTAGTTGCACCAAGTTAGCATGAAGGCCAAAATGTTCTCTGTACCACTCATACTGCAGTTGCTACTTAGTGATGACTACAACTCAGAACAGGAGTTTGGGTCCCAGACACTTCCCAGCTACGTAAGATGCAGTTTAGGACTTTTCCTGCTGGCAGGCTTGTTTTGAAGAATTAAGAGGGGACGGTGCAGTAGTGACCATTTGTTTGTCTGCAAATGTTCAGGTAAGCAAAAGGCTGGAACAAGGGGTTAAAGCTTTAATATGATTGAACACAAATGGTGGTTCCTGTTGTATGTCTTTTCTGCCAGCCAAGTCAGCAGGCTCTGTCCTCATGGGATCTTTTGGGAAGAACTCAATACCCCGTGCCTGCTCTTTCATTTACGTGCATCCTCTGCCTGGCTCTTGCTGACAGTGAAGGCCGTGTTGCATCCATAAACAAAACGTTTCATAATTCACTAAGGTAAATGTTGCAGGACAGGGTGATTTAAAACTGTGGCTGATAATTCTGCCTCCCCAGGCTGCTGTGCCCTTGGGAAGGAGATGAACACATGTGCAGCCAACAGATCTCCGAAGAGCTGAGAACCCTGGCCCTTTTGCAGGTTTTCTGGGCTGCCTGTGCTAAAGGAAGTGGTCCACCCTTGGGTGTTCAGCTCCGTGTCCCTGGGTTTGACCTGGTAGTCTGTGGCTCTTTGAGGGAAGAGGCATCCTTCTCTGTTTCCTTTACCAAAGTGCTGCACGGGGTCACTGTGCCCTGTTTGTTAAGCCACGGTGCGTTATGGTTTATAAGTGGGGATGTATCAGAGCTGGTGGAAGTGGGGACTGGCTTGGCCATGTGTGTGTGTACCTAAAGACCACTTTGTCCACTGATTTCCAAACCAAAGGCATTGCTGTGCCCTCTGGCCATGCTCATAACCTAGGCTAGCTCCTGCCATCCCTTCAGACTGCGTCTGTGATGCTGGGCACCAAACAGAGCCTGATTTAGAACCCAGTTTCCTAAGGCTGGGACAGAAAGATTTTCCAAAGCAAAGTGAAACCTCTTGAAGAAGGAGGGGGCTTTGCAACTGAATTTACACCAAAATAAGTTGTCTCAGCCTTAATCTTTGACTTGATAGCGGGTAGATTTCAAACTACACCATGTCATGAGTTTGCACGCCAGACCAAATCCTATTTTCCTACCTAAGCAGCTGCTACTATTCTTATCATTCATACAGTACCAGCCTTCATGCATACTAAGTGCTGGCCCTGTTCCAGCTGCATGCTGAAGCAATCCGTTAACACTCCTCCCAGTGTTATTTGAATGCGGCATTTCCCGGGCCTCGCTCTGCAGTCTCCTGCCTGCTCTCGTGGGCTGAGGAAGAGCCGCTGCCCTTCACTTCAGAGGTGGCTCCTTTATGGCAGGAGGCAAAGCCAGCGCGTGACCTCCTTCGCTCTGCTGGCGATGGTGATGTGAGCTCTAATGAGCTAATTTTTAGAATTGCAGATGCAGATTTGGGTCGATGGTTAATGGGGAAGAAATTACTTTTCTGTTGAAGGACAAATCTAGAAGGTAGGCTGGAGCTTTCTGATTGTGCTTCCTAGAAAAGCATCACTAACCTTACCAAAACAACTACTGAAAACCCTGAGCTTTTCCAATGCTGTGTGATAGGAATCTCAGTATCTACTGCTGTGATTCAGTCCAGTTTCTCCTGAGTTACTTGTTCAGCGAACTGCGCAGGTATACCTTCCACAGGGGCATTATTTTTCCCTGGTAATATAAAAATAACTTAAAGCATATCCAGAAACCGTTTGCCCTGCAGAGCCCTCTGACACTTTCTCCTTAAAAAGCTGTCATAGCTCAGCTGATGCCACCATTAATTTTGTTACAAATCCCCAATGGGATGAAAGCAACGATAAGGACTAGGAAGCACGTGAGTCCAAGAAAGGTTTACTTTTCTAATAATTTCCTGGGCACAACGGAGGGAGGGAGGGAAAGAAGAAAATGGGAAGAACACCTAGAGTGAAGTAGATGATTTGAGATAGTGCTGAGATGAACAGGATGGTGCCAGTCTCCTGCCTTTGGGGGTTGATTTAGAGAAGTGAGGCTTTGGCATCCTGAATAAAACTTCTTGGGGCTGTGTGTTCTGCTTACCCAAGCAGGAGGGCTGGCCAAGTGGCACATTTGTTGTGCTCCCTGGGTCCTCGGAGCCACACGTTCATGTTCTGCTCAACTCAGCTGATCTCTTGATTATTTTTCCAGATCAGTAATTTAATTTTCATGTGCATGCTTGTAGCCTGGGCAGAGATACCAGAAAAATCTTTGGATGAAGAGGAAGAAAACAATCTTCATTCATTGTTCTGCATGAACAGCAGGAAAAGCAGTCTTCTCTCTGCTTTTCTTTGGGTTAACCCAGGAACCGTTCAGGAGGCATTTCTACCTCAGAAAGGGCTGCATTTTGTTGGTGTGGCAGAAAAGGGCTCACTGTGAAGACTGTTGAGGCTTTTGAGAAAACAACATACATTGTTCTGCATGAACATGCAGTCCTCTCTGCTTTTCTTTGGGTTAACCCAGGAACCGTTCAGGAGGCATTTCTACCTCAGAAAGGGCTGCATTTTGTTGGTGTGGCAGAAAAGGGCTCACTGTGAAGACTGTTGAGGCTTTTGAGGATGAAAGGTGTTATGGAAGCTCAGTACAGTGATGTCTGTGTTCTGGGGAGCTGCTACCAGATGAAAGCATGCTTCTCCTGTGTACTCAGACAAGCAGCCTGCAAGGTGCTAATTCCTTTTTAGATCTGCTGCTCTTGTGATCGTGAGTCCTGGCTCACATCTGAAGGACTAATTTGACTCAACCAATGTAGTACGGCTAGGAGAGAGCCAGAAATCTACCTCCAATGCTGTTACTCTGTGTTTTCTTCGCTCTGACCCTGTAAATCGGTGGTGCTTGTTGAGCTGCAGGTCGTTGGTGGCCTCTGTCAGTGGGCTGCAGCTCTCGCATACTAGGATGTCAAAAATAAACTCAGCACACAGTACTCTCTGCTTTTGAAGGCTCACTGTGGTCGATCAGACACGGTGCTGCAGGGCTGCCGCTGCCTGCCAGTGCTGAATGGCAAATATCTGTGTGTACTCCTTGGGTGAGGGAGGAGCAGCAGGAGCCCCGTGGGGTTATCCTGCATTGCTCTCCCAACATCTCCAGTAAGGAGGCTCCCTTTGGGAAAGGCGGGTGAAGTCAGTCCGTTCTGTCTCTGATCTCTTTCATCAGCAAAAAGCAACTGAAGGTGCTGTTTGTAAATAGGTTTATTGAGGTCGGCTGATCCTGGAAATACTGCCACCTAGAAACTCTCCCAGATGCTAACCAAGGACCCAGCTCAAGGGAGTGACCTGCATG